TTTGATTAACCAACAAACCACACATGTAAGAGACAGAATTATCCATTCTTCCAAACCAATGAACCATCAGGATTGACACAATATACACCTGACCAACACAAACGTACACAATTTCGTTGAATGCCTTCAGATTATACTTGCAAGAAATAAAAAATGCACAGTTTAAAGACTACATAAAGAAATGGCAGACTAGGGATCGATTACTTACGAGATTGCCTTCGCAATACACAATTTATTTTTTAGCGACGATTAGCAAGCTAGAAGCAAGATCGGAGCGGGCAATCATCCCCAGGAGACAGGCCTAACAAAAGCGTCAGCGCACACTGACGGAAGCGTCCGCCCCGCACGTGCGCGCCCGTCGGCCGGGAAGGGAGGGGCGCGATCGACGCTCAACCAAACCGGAAGTGCGGCCGCTGAGCCGAAAAAGCCCGGCGGCCATCAGTCATACAATAATGGGGCTTTAATTGCTGCATAAGGGTCGGCCGAGGGCGGAGCCGGGCGGCGCCGGGACCGGCAAGCAGGGAGTGATGAGACGGCAATGCGGATTAATGAGACGACATCGGCAAGGCGCTGACTGCAGGGACGGGACAGTCATGGTCGCAGGACTGCAGGGACGATATTGTAATGGTGAGTCGGGGTACTGTGCGGACGATGCAGCATCAGCCGACAATGATTCCCAGAGTGAAGACTGCAGAGCAGAAACGTCGATGACCAAAGGATTGGAGAAATCAGTTGGCCATCACTGACGGACCGAAGTCCTGACTTCATTGAATGTCGATCATCTCGACTTGAGACGCACCCGATGATACGATACAGTTATCACGAGGACGAGGCCTGGATAGTTGACCCTCCACTGACACCGCCGGAACATACGGAGCGTGGCTAACCACCCCTGTCGGACCGGCGAGCGAGGCCCACCGCGCCCCGGCAGGACGGAGCGAGACAAATGAACGCTAATGAGACCGGTCTGCCGCCCGACAGACTGACAGCCGAGACAGACTGGCACATGACAGACGGACAGCCGTGGCACAACCACTGACGGCCGACCGATCCGCCACTAATCGGCCCTTGTGTGCTGTTTAATTTGACAGAGCAATGTCAGCAAGTGTGGCATGAGAAATCATCACGGCCGGGAGAGATTGGGGTGCAGCTTCCGCTTTGGGTAAATATTGGTGCACTGTGTTGAACCATGGGGTAGTTAGTATCGATAAGTTAAGCTTAATTTTCGACAGTTGACCTTTGATATGCGTGGACAAACTAAAAGGCGACGCACGCTTCAAAATACATAATTATTGGTACGAACTAAGCGTTGTGAAAGAAGCGTACTGCATCGGTAGCGGCTGCCCTCGACAGAAAGGTTTAATCAAGAGCTGGCTGAGCTGACTTGCAATAAAGCGATGCTTGCATCCACGTCGATCTGATTAGTGATTGTAATTACCACTCGGCACTCATGCAGTGCCGACGTGCCCGGTTCATCGAATAAACCAGCTAATGACAGGGTTAACCCATGGCATACACCAGCGCAATGCAATACGACTAGCGTCAGATAATAAATAGCAAAACAAGCTGTTCATTTACCGTCCCACCACAGCCGGCACATCCGAGTGCCATCAGGGGCTGCGCAGCCCCGACCACAAACCTCCCAGCCCTGTCGGCTAACCATCCAGCGCACGTCCACAAAACCTGCCAGCCACCTCCCACCAGTTACCCAGCGCGTCCCCATCCATGGCCGCTGTGTCACGTGACCCAACAAATACACTGACTGATCGGCTGTGTCGCAAATAATCTTGCCATCATTATTACCTAAGTGGTGCACGCGGTTCAGCTGTCGCCCGTTGTCCAATGCTCATAATAGCGCCGTCCCATCTGCCGTATGAACGTGCCAGCGTCAGCCATGTCACCGCCCAGCGGCCGCCACAGCCAGCGCTTTTTTGATGATCTCGATCAATGGTGGACGGTGCCAATATAAGCGCTCGGCAAACGGCGCCCGTGTCAGCCTCGCGGCCCGAGCCATTACGCGGACAATGTTTCACATACCGCACTAATGAGTCTGCATGCAGAACCGGGCGGCAGAGGCGGCGTCAGCGGCGCGAAAACGGGAGGCTGGCTCTCGCGTGCCGTGCGTCAGGTGGAACCGATGGTGTTTCGATGGGTGAGAGAGAGAGGGAGAGAGAGGGAGAGGTAAAGAGGGATCGAGAAAGAGGTAGAGATATAGGATAACCTTACAAATGCCTTTACAGCAGTTGCTGATAAGTCGTACCTACTCGTTTGGGCAAGTTGACCTCCACGCTTGTCACATTCACTACATGTTCTTATGTTGCGCGTTGCCATTTTCGTGCACTGGGAAGCACTGCTCTATGTTTCGGCAGTGTGGGCGGATGCGGTGATAGGCACGCCACAGAGGGTGACCATGGACACTCTGAACATTGGGTCCTCTGGACAGTGGACAGACACTGGACATTGGGTCCTCTGGACAGTGGGCAGACAGGACAGGGATCCTCTGGACAGCGTACACACAGGACAGGGATCCTCTGGACAGTGGACATACAGGACAGGGATCCTCTGGACAGTAGGCAGACAGGACAGGGATCCTTTGGACAGTGGACAGACAGGACAGGGATCCTTTGGACAGTGGACAGACACTGGACATTGGGTCCTCTGGATAGTGGGCAGAGGCCGACCGGGCAGAATGGCGTCACAAGTGCAAAAAAGCAGACAAACTGACTATTTACTGTACGTAATATTATCTAACGGCTGTGATGAGATAGATTGCACGAGCTCTCAGAAAACTGCTCTTCATTCCAGAAGCTAGAGAGGCCTCGGTCATCCACGTGGTGTAACGAGAAGGACATTTGGTAGGGACATATGTAAGTGCTCACATGCGGCACTCAAGGTAGCAGCTCGGGTGCCTGTAGCAGTGCCTACCTATATATGCGATCGATCAGAGCATATTTGATACCCACCGGTATCCGATGAGCTGAAGAAAGCGAGTACTGATTTTAAAGCTTATTTCAAGGTTTGATGTGCTTCGCAATCCACGCCATGATATACGATCAAAAGGAACACGGCTCAGTACCTTCCAAACAGACGGGTACACCGTCCAAGACCCCGTGGCGAATGGCACATAGGCTTTGATTACAGTGATTAGGGGGTTTCGGGCCGACTTGCGGTCAGTTCCTCCTAGAGGAGGGTTTAGACCTGGAGACAAAGATCGTCCGCGCACCTGGCCCTTTGACGACACTCGAGCAGATGCGCTCTACACAGAGCCGACATGGAGACCGCACAACACGAATGGCGGCTTTATTGGACAGTGAGGAGTCTGGGGACTGCGCTTGAATCGCTTTATTGTGAGATAGGCAGCCCGATGTTTTTGGACGCGCCATCTACTAATCAAAACGTAAATATCGCCCACTAAACAGCAGCATATGCCTTCAAGGCCAAGGCGCACAACCCTGGAACCCTCGCGGCGGGCAGCTCACCCCTTTGTCACCCGCCTTCCAGCTCCTTCTACCCGCCTCCCTCCCCGTTGTCTACACTCCCCCACCGCCTACGACTCCCGTCCTCCAATCCTCCCCGCTCCCAGTCCTCGGTAAGTACCTGTCTGTCTGTGAGCCGGGCCACTCCACTCCCGTCCCTCCTGGCCGGGCGGACCGGCCGCCGAGACACCTTCGACTCCCCGCCGAGCGACGGTAATGAGCGTGGGGACCGGCGGGCTCCGGCCGGGCCGGAGTGCCACTCGGTCCGGCCCTCTCCGGGTCCGGCCCGGTCCGGCAGGGACCGGCCCAGATCCAGGGGGTCGCCGGCACCCCGCTGAGCGCAGAATTCCGCCGGTCGCGGCCGGGCCGCCGCGCGGCTCACGGTTGCGTCACGGACGGAGACTGCACGTGCGCCCGGTCAGCGCGGGGCACGGAGGGAGGAGAGGGAGGGTACGGTGCACAGAGCCAGCCAAGGTCGCTGCCGAGCGCCGGCGAGCCGAGCGGCAGCGCTGTGCTCGGTGGGACCGTGCCGAGCCCGACCCAGGAGGAGACGAGAGACGGCGAACGAGCCGGGTAATTCCATGACTCCATGGTTCCATGACTCCGGTGAGTCGCCCGAGTCAGGTGAGCAGTCGGGATGATTCGAGCTGCGCTGTGACTCTCCAAGGCCGCTGGCATCTCCCGGTGGGTAAATAGGCGCTGATCGGAGGGAGAGCAGAGAGACGGGCCGGTGACCGCCCGTCGCTTTATGGGGTGCCACTCTGATAGAGCTATTACAGACAGCGGGCGAACAATTATCGGCGGGCCGGACCGGGCCGGGCCAGGGACGCCGAGCGCCCGTCCCCAGTCGGCGGCGGAATGTCTCCCCGAAATAGGCGGGCCGCAGCGAGACGCTGGAGGGAGGGAGGGCCCACAGAGACCCTCTGGAGGAGGGAGGGAGGGCCCACAGAGACCCGCTGGAGGAGGGAGGGAGGGACCACAGAGACCCGCTGGAGGGAGGGAGGGCCCACAGAGACCCACTGGGGCCCTCAGAGTGCCTCTGTGTCGGCCGGCCGCCGGCGGGGCGGGGGAGGGCCCGGCACGTACAGATCGACCCTGGGAGAGTGATAAGGCAGGAAATGAGCGCCTCTTTCCTAGTTGTGGCCTCGTCGACGCCTCGTTACGCGCCGTCATTAGCGCAAAGAATGAGACACTCAATGCTAGAATGTATAACGAGACGCTCGATGCCCAGCATGTGCTAATGAGTGACGTGCGGCTCGATAAGCGTGTTTGCGAATAATTTATAACAAAGCCGATCGCATCATCGCTCGTTACATAGGATAGGCGGATCTGCGTGATATCACAAGGCTGTGCAAACGTCTCAAAGCTGCGTGCAGCGAACAACCTTTACTAGTACATTAAAATGAAGTGACATCAGGTAGGTAAAGCAAAACACTCAGCGCATTCCAGCCCCCATCCTACCGGCAGTTACCAACATGCCACCCTTATCACGGCAGCGTCAGCGATCTGCCAACACCCTCTTACCTTATCACCTGGTACAGCAGCTGGCTCAGTCCCCGACGCACGCTGTCGCGCTCCCCGTCGGACGCGACGTGTGCTCCCCCGGGAGCCGCGCGCCACCACCAGCGCGTCGCCAACTAGCGGCCACGGAGCGCGCGCGGCGGGCCGGCAGCCGTGTAAACGGCGACTGAGGCCGCTGCGCGTCGGCGCGAACCTCTCGGCGGCGCCCATTGGCCGCCGGCCGGCGCACGTTCTGTCTCGCCCGCTGATTGGTCGGCGCGCCGGGGGCGGAGCCGGCGACCGGAGATGAATTCGCCCGGCGATGGAATGTGGAGTCGCGGATTATCAACAATTATTGTGCAGTCGAACGTCGGGACCCTGTCCCTCGGTGGAGGACCACCGAATCAGGACGGTGAGCGCGCTGACAATGCACCCTAAGCAGCCCGAGCTCATCAATTGGACGCCGAACGAGCTGGAACGTCTAAAGACCCGTGGGACACGGGCCTCCGACCGGAGACTCCATGCGCCTTGGGCCATGAGAACGGCGTGGTGTTAGCTTCTTGTGCTTCAATGAATCCGGGCGCTGCGGAACAGTCTACGCCAGAAACCGCAGGCGGAGTCGCGTCTCGCCCTTTGACACAACGCTCCGTGAGGCCGCGGTTATAAGAAGCTGTCGAGTGTCGGGTGATTACTGTCCGCAGCGCAGCCTCCATTCGCGCGTGAAAGATCATTCAGGAAAGCTTGCGAAAAACCCGGCACACATCAGCGCACTCGCACACATACACAGGGTCTCTTTTATAAGCAAATTGACTAGCCAATGCGTCACGCGGCTCGACAGATTTGATTCATTACTAATTGAACGATGGTAATCTGGCGATGTGTGCAAAAACGGAGCGGCCTGCCGGCCCGACCGACCTAATAAGCATTTGCATTACAATGTTGTGTAGCTGCAAGACGACGCTTTGAAGGCGTGAAATTACTGAATCCAGCCCGGCTGAAATTATCCGGCAAAGTGGGCGGCTTTCTGAAGACATTCAGCAGACTGGTCTGCCAAAGCTATCAGTGTTTTGAAACAAAACTTGGTGTTGGTCAGTTAGTTTGATTTAAAAGAGATTTAAACAGCCTTTACCAAATGGTTGTTTGAAAAATAGTGGCTTGAGGGCCTCCAATCCGCAATACAGTTGCCTAACCTTCTTCATTGTAGTGTACACTCGGGGGCAGATTGATGTTCCACCACTCCCTACTCATCGGGCTCCCATGTGGCTCAGCACTGGCTGCTGCCAGTGTTGCCTGCCCTCAGCACTGGTCAGCACTGCCTGCCAGTGCCAGTGCTGCCAGTGCTGCCACTGGCAGCAGCAAGTGCTGAGCCACGGGAGCCCGATGGGTAGGGAGTGGTGGAACATCAATCTGCCCCCGAGTGTACCTGCTTCATTGCACCTTAAACATTTTTACCAAAAAGACTAGTATGTAGTAACTATAGGCGGACCTATTTGATACCTATTAGCCGTTTCCAAAAGGTCTAATGTCTATCTGGCGAATGCACGTAATCTGACCAAATCTGCACCAAATCTCTTTTGCAATAAATGTCTTCAAATCATGAATTTATTTCAGTGTTTTAATCGAAAAGAATGCATGATACTTTGAAAAATGAGGCATATAAGCTTCTGTGCAACCCAAACTGATCACTTTTAAGAAACACTCAACCTAATTTGACCAAATCTGCACCAAATATGCACCTAATTTGCACCATGGATGAGTGTTATAATTGGTGCAGATATGGATGAAATAACATTGTTATTTCATCCATGTCTGCACTAAATGTGTACAGGTCTCGCGAGATTAAGCGGTAGGTTTTGCACTTTTACATTTCCAGTTATATCTCAGAAACTAATCGACCTACGATGAGGCCATTTTACACGATCATGGCCGGCTTGTTACCCAACAAGTCGATCGCATCTTCAACACTTAAAAGCTTAAGACGACGAAGATATAGCATGAAGTACACTAAATTTTCTAGGTGCAAAACCTACCGTTAAAACCCGCGAGACCTGTACCTACCAGACGGCCGTCGTGAAAACAGCTATTGTCTATCTTACACAATACACAGTTCTGGGATTTGGACCTTTATCCCGACATTTTATGGTCGGGATAAAGGTTATTTTATATGCTGTTTTTTGTGCGTGTAAAGGTAAATGAAATAATGTAGGTATGTACAGCCCACCGCTAAAGTAATGTGTGGTTTTACCAATCTCAACGGATGGCTTTGACCGACGATTTTTAAATACGGACTGATTGAAAAGAAGACGTCAATAGATAAAGTTGTAGCTGCAAGGGTGAAGATACATGTAAGCTACATTTAAAGTCTCATTGCAGTCTGGCTTATCGTTCCTAGGCTTCAGAAGCAGAACATACCGATGACTGAAACCACACATTACTTCTGCTGTGGATTGTACCTGCGCACTAAATGACTGAGTTGGTAATCGGCCGTTTATCTAGTTATCAGATGGGTCGGATCCTTAACCCGGCAGTTGCTGGGGTATTTCGCCACCCACCGTTTGCTGGGGGGGGGGGGCGTTAAACGCCCCCAGCCGATAACTCGAGAACCAATAGGCGCAGCGAAACGCACGAGGCGGCAAACGAAAGAGCGCGACGAGACGCTTCAGATGAGTACTTTAAAGTTGAATTTTGAGGTCACAGGTCGGGTCAAGGTCAGGTCAAACACCTGAAATCGGGCTTTCAGTAGCATGAAATTCAGGACTTCACAATGGGCGCCTCTCGCCATAAACTCTGTCAAAACGGTGCACAATCCACCCTATAAGACCTACAAGAGTGTCAGCTCCATTTAGGGGTCAGTCAATGTAGTGTATTGCTCTGCCTTGATGCTCTATTGCTCTGTCACGGATCGGTGAGGTCACGGCTTGCCGTGACGTCAGCGCGTATGTGTACTGCCGCCGCGTCTGCCCTGGGGCACGGTGGGGTCGGCCGCGGGCCGGTTGGGGCCGCGGGCCGGCAGTGCGCTGGGTGAGCCAATACAGTACAGACCAGTTCGTTACAGTGGCGACGAGAATCACTGGACTTGAAGAGGAGGTGGAACATTTGGCACAAGTATGGTACATGGAGCGTTGGGTGAGTTTGATCCGGGCAATGAAGGAATCGGAAGTTACTTGGAACGGTTTGATTTTTACTGTGAGGCAAATGGGATCTCAGCAGCGGAACGGAAGAAGGCTGTTTTTCTGTCAACTGTAGGCCATGGCACGTTTGATATAATTAAGGATCTGTTACACCCAGTGGGGCTTTCTGATGCGTCCTTGGCCGAAATAAGAGACAGTTTACTTCGGCATTTCAAGCCTCAAAGCGTGGAAATAGCGGAACGGTTCAAATTTTTCAAGCGGACACAACAGTCGAATGAGTCTGTGAGTGAGTATATTGCTACGCTGAGGAAAATGGCCAAGGAATGTAATTTCGGTGACTATTTGAATACGGCGCTCAGGGACCAGCTCGTATGTGGAATGAAAGATGTCAAGTGTCAGCGAGAGCTGTTGAGCAAGTCTGATCTGACATTGGAATCTGCCCTGCAGCAGGCCAAGGCCATGGAGGCGGTGCAGAGAGAGGCTTCTTGTTTCAGCGGAGAGGTGGCCGCGGCTGCTAACCGGGTGGCCAGTGGGCCGCAGCGGACCATCAGAAGCGCCCAGCCCGGGCACAGGGACGCGCCGACATCAGCTGACTCAGCTAAGTACGGCCGATCGTGCTGGCGCTGTGGCAATCGGCATGGTGGGAAATGCCGATTCGAGTCCGCCAAATGTTACGCATGTGGTCGTCAGGGTCACATTTCAAGATGCTGCCGGCAGCAGGCGTCTTCAGTTCACCACCAGGGAGTGTCTGGAGAGCAGCCTGATGATGACAGCGGCGCGGTGGAGCCGGTCCTGCTGGAGAACTTGTCGACTCCGAGTCAGCCGGTGTATGTGGTTAACCGCGCCCAGGTGAGCTCGCCACCTATTTGGTGCCCTGTTCAGATTTGTAGCACGCAGGTTAACATGGAGTTAGACACGGGCGCTGGTGTCACATTGATTGATGAACACACATACCGTCGTTTTCAAAAGCGTCCGAAGTTGAATAGCAGCCCCGTTAAACTGAGATCGTTTACTGGCAACACAATACCTGTACTGGGTGAATTCAGCACTGACGTGACGTACAATGGTCGGCTGTACAGGCAACTCCCGATCGTGGTCGTCCATGGATCGGCTCCATGCCTCCTGGGTCGGAACTGGCTGGAGAAGATGCAGATCTGCTGGTCTGACGTGCACGCGCTGAGGACTTCACATCTACAACGACTCAAAAGCAAGTATGGCTCTGTGTTTCGTGAGGGGCTGGGCACATTGAAAGGTGTAGAAGTCAGGCTTGATATCGACAGAAGTGTTGTTCCTAAGTTTTTCAAAGCTCGCTCTTTACCATTTGCGTACAAACAGAAGGTTGAGGATCAGTTAGACGCAGACATTGCTAGTGGTGTGCTGGTCCCAGTTAGGAACAGCCGCTGGGCAGCGCCCATTGTACCAGTCGTGCGGCCTGACGGGCGCATTCGTGTCTGTGCGAATTTTAAACTGACTGCAAACAGAGCTGTGAAACTTGACAAGTACCCACTGCCCAAGACAGAAGAAATGTTTGCAAAGCTAGGATCGAAGAAAGTCTGGTCCAAAATTGATTTAGCACAGGCCTACAATCAGGTTAAGATACATAAAGACTCACGAGATATTCTCACCATCAACACTTCTCGTGGGCTCCTGCAGTACACCAGGATGCCATTTGGAGTAAACTGTGCTGTAGGAGTTTTCCAGAGGGAGATAGAGCGCGTTTTGAGCGGCATTCCAGATGTGGTTGTTTACCTTGATGATGTGCTCGTTGGCAGCCAGTCAGAGGAAGAACACTGGAAGGTGCTGGGATCGATCTTCAGTCGACTGGAGGCTGCTGGACTCCGAGTTCGGGAGACCAAGTGCGCGTTCTTTCAAGACAGCGTGGAGTATCTGGGACATCACATGAGCAGGGATGGAATTCGGCCGACGTCAGACAAGGTGAAGGCTATCGTGGATGCCCCCCGCCCCGCTAATGTGACTGAGCTCAAGTCTTTCCTCGGACTTGTTACATACTACTCGCGATTTATAGCGCAGCGTGCCGAGGTCTTGTCTCCCCTGTATGACCTTTTAAGGGCAGGGGCCAGCTGGACATGGGGGCCTTCACAAGAGAAGAGTTTTAATTCTGTGAAAGACGCTCTGGCCTCCCACACTTTGTTGGTTCATTTTGATCCAGAAAAACAGCTGATTCTTACCACCGATGCATCATGCAGGGGGGTCGCTGCAGTATTGGCTCATCTCGATGATAATGGTGTAGAGGCGCCGATCGCTTTCGCCTCTAGAAGATTGTCTGTAGCAGAGCAAAAGTACAGTCAAATTGAGCGTGAGGGCTTGGCGGTCATCATGGGAGTAACCAAGTTCCACCAGTATCTGTGCGGGGTAACTCGACCATTCTTCCTCGTCACGGATCATAAGCCGCTCTTCAAGTTGTTTGGGCAGCATGAGGCGTTGCCTGAGATGGCGTCTGGGCGAATCAGGCGCTGGGCTCTCAAACTGTCTGGTTATAATTACCGCATTCAGTTCAAGCGAACACATGAGATTGCCAATGCCGATGCGCTGAGCAGGCTGCCCAGTCCTTACATTGAAGGAGCGCAGCCGGAGGAACTGGTTCTTCATGCAGATGAGGACTGGTCTGGTGCTGAGGTCGGGGAAGCAGGTCCTCAGCCTGAAGAGTTGGAGCTGTTGACAGCGCAAAGCTGGTTAGATGCGAAGCAGGTGGCCAAGCTGACCAGCATGGACCCAGTGTTGTCGAACGTTGTGCGCCTTGTACAGTTTGGAGGGTGGCCCACTCAAATTCCGGAATCGCTCAAATGTTTCGCCCCTAAAAAGGATGAACTGTCACTGACGGCTGGGGTTCTGCTATGGGGTCATCGTGTTGTGATTCCAGATGCTGCCCGCAGAGCTGTGCTGATGGAGCTGCACGTCGGACATCCGGGCATCGGCAAGATGAAGGCGTTGGCGAGGAGCGTCGTCTGGTGGCCCGGCATCGACCAGGATGTGGAAGCAGTCGTCGGAGGGTGCACTGCGTGCCAGGAGAGTCGTGACTCGCCACCGCATCGTGAGTTACATCCGTGGCCGTGGCCCACGAAACCCTGGTCCCGCATTCACGCGGATTTTGCCGAGCCAGAGAAGGGGAAGTATGTGTTGGTAGTTGTTGACAGTCATTCTAAGTGGATAGAGGCAGAAGTCATGTACAGTACCGCATCGGCTCCGACGATCAATAAATTCCGGGCTATGTTTGCGAGATGGGGATTGCCGGATATGATCTGCACTGATAATGGGACAACTTTTACCTCGACTGAATTTCAACAATTCTTGAGAGAGAACGGCATTGTGCATCGCACGATAGAGCCCCGTCACAGCCAGGGTAATGGTCTCGCAGAGCGAGCCGTCAAGGAGGTAAAGTTGGCCTTACAAAGGGAGTCTGATAGCGGCGGACCGTGGGACCTGAGACTCACCAGATGGCTGATGAGACAGCGCACAACACCTCATTCAACAACCATGGTGACACCCGCTGAACTAATGATGGGTCGCAGGCTTCGCACACGGCTAGATCTGTTGTTTCCAGATATAGGCAAGACAGTCCTTCAGCAGCAAAACAGACAGAGGGCGTACTTTGACCGAACGGCTCAGTGTCGGCAAATGCTGGTTGGCGATGCGGTGTTCGCGAGAAATTACGCTGTTGGGTTGCAGTGGCTGCCTGGGGTGATCGTCGGCACCGATGGCCCGGTGTCTTACGTGGTCCGTTTGTTTGATGGCAGGCTTTGGAGACGGCATGGTGACCAGCTGAGGAGGCGGCAGTCAGCTGAGCCGATCAGTCCGCCGGAGGCGGCGTCACGGGAGGTCCGGCGGCCGTCGTCCGATGCTGCTGTCCAGCCCGGGCGACCAGGTGGAGCGTCTCAGGGGACTGCACCGCCGGCACCGCTGTCGTCCGCCGTGCAGCCGTCGCAGTCGCGGCCGGGGGCGCTCACTCAGCAGCCGCCTCCGCCCAATGTTCGGTCGTCGCCGACGCGGCCGGGGGTACCGGCTCAATCGTCGCATCGGCCGTCGCCCGTCTCCGCCCCGTCGTCACTCGAGCCGGGTGGGCCGCCGCAGCCGTCGGCGGACGTTTGGCCGTCGTCCGCTCCTGGAACGTGTCCGGCGCCGAGCTCACCGGATGGGACTGGGCCTCATCCAGAGGTGGCGACATCTGTGGAGCGGACATTGCGGCGCTCGACTCGAACGCGGAGAGCGCCTGAGCTATATCAGGCAGGGAGTGGGATGTGATGGCCTGTTACCTGTACTAGTGTTACGAGGAAGTGCTTAGTTAAGGAAGGGGGAGTGTAGTGTATTGCTCTGCCTTGATGCTCTATTGCTCTGTCACGGATCGGTGAGGTCACGGCTTGCCGTGACGTCAGCGCGTATGTGTACTGCCGCCGCGTCTGCCCTGGGGCACGGTGGGGTCGGCCGCGGGCCGGTTGGGGCCGCGGGCCGGCAGTGCGCTGGGTGAGCCAATACAGTACAGACCAGTTCGTTACAGTCAAGCATAGGTCAGGGTCAAGGTCAGGTCAACCGGGTAGGCACATATCCCCGAAAATCAAAACTGATATTCGCAGCCTGTGACACATGTTTTATAGGTAATTTGGGGCGTAGAACACGATGGTGACATTCATTTTATCATATGTGTACGTGTTTGGCTCAAAAACTTCAATTTAAGAAATTCATGTATCATGGTCGTGAAGTAGTCACGAAAAATTGCCAAGATTCAGTTCAAGATTTTGGAAAATACGGAACGATAATCAATAATCGAAGATAGCCATTTGATTGATCATGGTATTGGCAGTCTAATGGCGTTTACGGCATGTCTGTATGTCTATTCTGTGATTTTATATGATTTTTTGAACATATGCCGTTTTTGGTCGAAAACTCAGAAATCATGACGTCACTAAAACCTCGATATCTCAAAAATTTTCCGACCGATTTTTTTGAAACTTTGTCACAATAAACTTCAATCAATTCCCTACAGGTACCCAAAATTTGGCGGGCCTGCGGCGCGCCGTTTTTATGCTATGGCCCGGCGAAAAAAGTGGGGGCGTTTAACGCCCCCCCCCCCCAGCAACTCGCGGGTTAACCCTATTAGTGGCAGGGGGGTTGTTTTTATCCACCCCTCAGCTTTTTCGGGAATATCTCCGAAACCGCTGAAGCTACGATGCTGAAATTTTCTGACTTTTCCTCAAACTAAATTGGGCACATTCCCTGAAAATTTCAAGTTCATAACTTTACCAGGGGCGGCTCCAGAGCACTGGGAATTGGGGGGTCCTATTCGTGAAGCGAGTCATTTGGGCGAAGATCACGATGCTGCACCAGTTTTACGAACAGTGAATGAAAGGTATCATGTGATAACATATACAAAGTTATTGTGCATCCTCTTTTGACACGTTTTTGCTATAATAGGCGGATCCAGGCGTCCAAAAAGGGGGGTTATTTTTTACCTCCCAACATAGGTGCCCTGCCACCGCCTATGCATGACCAATACAATTTTAGTCGTTCTCTCATAAGAAAATTGTAACATAACAAGACCATTGCTACCCTTTTTAGAAACAGTACCAACAAAAACCTTATTTACTATACTTTTTGTGTACCCCCAATCTCAATGAACTGTATCCGCCTATGATTTTCGAAAATGCATATTTTTAGGATCCATGTGAATTCCTGGTTCATTCTCTATCGATCGGCAAAAGTTGCGTTAAGATTGGTTCAGAAACCTGGCCGTGATAAACAGTCTAAAATGTATCTGCAATTTGCCCGTTTTTACCCCCCTCTACCCCCCTATTGACATTTTTAATTCTATTTCTTTTAGAAATGTAGATCTCGTTGAGCCAAATGGAATGCCGTTTGAATTTTGAAAATCGGCCGGTTAGATCTCGAGATATAAAGGGGGGGGGGGTTGTAAACAGCCCCCCCCCTGCCACTAATATGGGGTAGCCAGGAGCCTGCCACTAATAGGGTTAAGACTGCATGTGTGGATGCAGCACGCAGAACAGCTATCGAATGAATTGATGGACGAATGAATGAATAAAGGAATGAAGGAAGGAATGAATATTTGAATTGATGGATAAGTAAATATATAAATGAACAAATGGGAGAAACAATTAAAAGTCGGGCAGACCTAAGAAAGAACGGTTTTAAAATGCAATTGCCATTGACGCACGCTCTTTCATATTACCTTAAATATATATTCGAAAGCATTTCTCCCACGACTTTTCCAGCAAATTTTCTCCGAACCATACATGTCCATGATCAAAACACATGCAAAGTGGTTCAGGCGCTTAAACTCTGTTCTTGACGAGCGAACAAACAACAAATGAGCGAGCAAACAAGCGAAGCAACGAACGATCAAGGAAACAAGCGAAGGGGGCAAATGAATGAATGAAGGAATGAGTGAATGGTCATCCATTCATTATCCTGCGCCCCGCTGGAGAGGGGGGAGCAGAATCTGCCCCTCCCGTTTTTTCGCCAATAATTTCTAAACGCGTTACGCCAGCGACGTTAAACTTTCAGTACCTTATCATACATTAATTTAACAAGTTCCCTGAAAATTTGAGCGAAATCCGTCGGACAAAATGAGAAAATGACGTTTAAGTGACGTCATGTCACGTCATTTTTGCTTCAAAAACTGCAAAACTTCAAACGCCGCTATCATCTTCATCTTTAAAGGAATCAAGACGTAACAAACCAAAAAATTTATACGTGATTATGTCTATCAAATGGCTATCTCGGCTTTTTGAAAATTTTGGATTTTGGTAAAAAAAACTGACTTTTTTGGGGAAATTCAATATCATATCCAAAATTTTATGTTTATCGAAAAACCGGAACATGTTTTAAAGAAGTGGTCTAAGTTGCACCTACATACCAATTTTTAGAAGAATCAGTTAAAAAATGTGGGAGTTTTTCAAACTTATATGACGTCACGGCACACAAAAATTTCGAAAAATGGATTTTTTGGAACTTCTAGACCTCATACGGAAACAAAAAAGCAGCATTCGATTTGCCGTGGAAAACTGCATCAGATAAACATCTTTTTAGGTCTTAACAATCAACTTCAAAATTTGACCTCACTTGACCTGACCTTGACCTGGCCTCGACCTGAAATTCATCCAGCTGTGGTCCATATCACTAATTGAGTGTGCCCATTGAATTCTATGAATAAAATAACTCATAAAACATGTATCGCACATGCTCTCTTCTATATTTCGCACTTGGTGACCTGACCTGACCTTGACCTTGACCTTTGTATGACATTGTATGCAACGAATCTTGTCTTGGTAGCCTAAGAACACGTTTTGGGCAATCAGTCTCAGTCCATTCTTCGGCAACTACGGTGCAAGGTCGATACTGTAGATTCTACAGTGCAAGTGCAAAATGCAAGTTTCTACAGTGTAGAAACTTGCATTTTGTACCCTTGACCTGACCTTGACCTGACCTCTGACCTACTTAAGCAAAAAAAAAATAGGGTCTTGAGATCCACCTTGTTGAGAGCTTTCGATTGCCGTTTTCTCCGTCTTTCTACGACCATCGGTTCGGAAGTTAGACAGGGGGGGGGGAGAATCTGCCCCCCCCCCCCCAGCAGGGCGTGTATGGCTGAATAGACCAGCGGGGCGCGGGTTGTTTTAGCTCTGAGGATAGTTGTATGGGCAGAATAAAACTAGTTGCTGAATGAATGATTGATTGAATGAGTGAATGAATGATTGAATGAGTTAATGATGATTGATCAGATTGAATGAATGAATGAATGAATGAATGAATGATCAGCCTTTCATAATGTTGGAATGTCGGTATTTCCGGACAGCCGTATATATATGTTCTAAGCTAAGCTTTCATACATTATGTACTATGTAGACATCGATTCGGACTTTGGAGTCCATTTTAGGAAGTTTGAGAATCTTTTTTGGGGGAGGTATGCTGCGGTACAATACCATCTTCACACATAGATCTGCCAACGACTCTCTGCCGGCGGCGCGAGGGTAAACCAACCAAAGACACTTGCAATTGCCCCGGTTTGCTTAGTTTCAGAGGGGTATCGTAAAAATGTCTCGCTATTTTATGACTATTTTCTTACTTAGCCTCCTGGCACCTTTTTATGTAATGTGAAGAGCAAGACAATCATTCGGACTTCGAAGGTGTATTTCTCTGTGAAGAGACCAAAGCCTTGAGCGTGACCTGCAAGATCACCTCAGAGCTACGCAACTAAGCCATGGATTCGGTCGATTTATTTGATAGGAAGTATGTAGAAAAATAAAATTGGTATTCATTCGTCGAAAAGAACTATTTCCATTCGCTTTTACAATCCTACCAAACCCAGGCTTATTGGGCAGCAGGAAAGTGCACCGAAGCCCAACAGGAAATGTGAGACCTGCCAGCTTGTGTTGAGTAACTTAGCTCATTAATGACTTAAATGGTACGTCATATTTCAGCTCAGTGGTTGGTGCAAGTAGCAGTTGCACGACAGCTGTGTGATTATCGCAGCAAATGAGAAATGAAGTCAATTAGGCTGTGAGCGGCGTAACGAGCCCTGCTGGGAACAGGTGGCGCGGACCCAGACGAGACTGGACGGAGGGTGACGTCCCCGTTACACGGCTGCCTCCGAGGGGTGACGTCCCCGTTACACGGCTGCCTCCGAGGGGTGACGGCCCCGTTACACGGCTGCCTCCGAGGGGTGACGTCCCCGTACATACCGGCTGCCTCCGAGGGGTGACGGCCCCGTTACACGGCTGCCTCCGAGGGGTGACGTCCCCGTACATACCGGCTGCCTCCGAGGGGTGGCGGCCCCGTTACACGGCTGCCTCCGAGGGGTGACGTCCCCGTACATACCGGCTGCCTCCGAGGGGTGACGTCCCCGTACATACCGGCTGCCTCCGAGGGGTGACGGCCCCGTTACACGGCTGCCTCCGAGGGGTGACGTCCCCGTACATACCGGCTGCCTCCGAGGGGTGACGGCCCCGTTACACGGCTGCCTCCGAGGGGTGACGGCCCCGTTACACGGCTGCCTCCGAGGGGTGACGGCCCCGTTACACGGCTGCCTCCGAGGGGTGACGGCCCCGTTACACGGCTGCCTCCGAGGGGTGACGTCCCCGTACATACCGGCTGCCTCCGAGGGGTGACGTCCCCGTACATACCGGCTGCCTCCGAGGGGTGACGGCCCCGTTACACGGCTGCCTCCGAGGGGTGACGTCCCCGTACATACCGGCTGCCTCCGAGGGGTGACGTCCCCGTTACACGGCTGCCTCCGAGGGGTGACGTCCCCGTACATACCGGCTGCCTCCGAGGGGTGACGTCCCCGTACATACCGGCTGCCTCCGAGGGGTGACGGCCCCGTTACACGGCTGCCTCCGAGGGGTGACGTCCCCGTACATACCGGCTGCCTCCGAGGGGTGACGGCCCCGTTACACGGCTGCCTCCGAGGGGTGACGGCCCCGTTACACGGCTGCCTCCGAGGGGTGACGGCCCCGTTACACGGCTGCCTCCGAGGGG